TCCTACGGTCATTAGACAGCTGGAACCTGGGGGGCCGGGGACTCGCCCATTGACTGACAAGGACTTATTGGATGCCATGGAGTTATTTCCCCGCACTACCGCAGGCCCCCTCAGTTTGGGATTGGTTTATTGATTGAATTGGAATTGGTTTAATAAAGTGTGGCCCATTTTAAATCCAAAGAATCGTTGTCTAGCGTCTTTATTCTGGGGCTTAGGGGAGCAAACACTGATGGCAGACAAGGTGACAGTGATAGTTAATGCCGGGGCAGAATATCTCTGAAGGCTTCTTCGAAAAGCCTGGTTTTTAAAATCTTCTTAAAGTCTGAGAGGGAAGGGACTGCTGGATCTCGACTGGAAGCCCATTCCAAAGAGATGAGGCAACTACTGAGAAGGCTTGGTTCCTCATGGAAACCCTTCTTCAGCTCTCTCACGTAAGAGACCTTCCTGGGTGGCATCTGCTTATGTTCTTTGGGGAAGACACTTCAACAGATAATGAAGTCCCAAACTGTTATGTTAAAAACCAGCACCTTGAATCTGGTTAGTTCACAATCAGAATGCTCATAATCTTAAATCTTTGAAGCAGAATTCAAGAAGAATAAAATTTATGCTTAAGACTTTACATTGTTTATGAGAAGCTCCAAAACAAAATATTTACAAAATATTAACAGGGTATAACTTGAAGTCCCTGAGTCATTGAAAGTTTAGAATGAAAAAAAAATGAAGGAATCACAAGCTAATACACTACAGTCTTGCTCCAGCACCAACACACATGGCAGGCATAGCTCCAGTGGCCATATGTTTGGTAGCTTTATAGTGGCCATATTAGTACTCACACTGAGTGCATGGATTTTAATGGGCACACTGTAATTGGGATTAACTTTTGATTTGGCCTGTATGCACTAAATATACATGATAAATTTCCAAGTTAATTGAAATTCTGTCATTAAGATACATTATACCATATTTGAACATTTGCAGGGGTTTTTAGCAGATTTTTGGAGCATGTTCATGGCTTTTGTTTACCAGAGACATTCAAACGCATGTTGAGGGCCACAAGAGTGTTTGTAGGTTAAGCTGCTATAATTACATTGGCTTGAATTTTCCCCATTTCTCTAGCTGGAGGAACTGGATAAAGGTGGGGCTCATGTTACCCAGACTTTACTAGGTTTCACCAGGATGAATCTACAAAAGTCTGATACGTATAAGCTCCTTATGGATTTATGGACTGCAGAGAGAAGGTTTCTTACTATAGTATCTTTTTCAAAAGTTGCTTGGCATAACTCAGCAGATCCATGCTTGAAATAAAATCCCAGCTACTCACTTCTGTCATCTGATTCAAAACACGCTGTGAATTAATGTTACTGGGGGAGCCTGAAGCCTTTCATTCCTTGACTCCTTTAACCTTAATGTAGCATTAGCACATCGTTATATATAAACATATAAAGCCATATTTATATGAGCTGGGAAATGCATGTGGAGTTTGAGATTTTGCTAACCTGCAGGACTTCGTCATTAATTATATATTCAAGTTTTCCTCCAAGGGAGATTTCAGTGAAAATCTGTGGGTTTATGCTTGAGTGAAATCGACTGCAATATGTACTAACTAGGACTGTAGGCAGGTAATGAAATAGGAAATGAGCAAACTTGTTTTTGTCTGTGACTTCATTTGCATTATAAAGCAGTATGGGTTCAAAAGGAACAAAGGCAGCTTGGGCTCACTCATGGGAATGCTTTCAGAAGATTAAACTTTTAACAAAGAGAGGGAATTGGTTCCCCTTCCCCTTGCTGCCCAGTTATATCATGATTCATAATGGATGACAGTATGATGAAATTATAATGTAGGGATGTCTGCTGGTTCTGGCCAGTTGTAAAAGAAAGAAATTAGGGATATTTGTGCATTTTGGAGCAACCATAGGTTGGAGCAAAGAGCCTAGAAGCATTAACAAGATGGAATGGTGCCCCTATAAGTTAAATCCCCTGTGCTAAATCCAGCATTCATACATTATGGGAAAAGCAAAAAAAAAAAAAAAAAAAAAAAGATGTACAAGTCTGCCCTATTAATGATCTTTCCCGTTGTAAAGTTGTTGATTAAATCATTAAAGTCCTGTGGGCACAGGAATTTCAGATCCGGGGAATAGGAAGGGAGAGGACTGAAAGTGTAGAAGTGCACTCCCTGCATTGCTCATTGCAGTGGGTGTTTGTTTTTTGGTATAAACATGGCCTGTTTTTAAAAGAAGGAACCTATGCCCACACCCCTTTTAAAGCCCTTCACTCCTTCTTGGTGGCTGCTTTAGGAAGCCAATCAGACTTTCTCCTGACAGCTGGAAAAAAAGGAAGGTTTTATTTTCCTCCTTCACAGAAGAACTGGAAATGCACAAATATCACCATGGGTCCAGATTGGGTTGGAGTGCCACCAGGTGCTTGGCAACAACTTTCTAATTTTTGTTGTTCAAAAAGGCAACAAATCTGCATCTTATGTAACTGGTGTTTGCGTAACACACAGTAGGCCATTGCTTGTGCAATTCTGCGTTAGAAAAGACTTTCTTTTTTTCTCCATCTTTCATAGTTAAATGACATAGTCCATTGAACAAGTTTTATTTCTCATGCCTTTGTTCAACAGAGTATGAAAAAAAGAGATAGCACATGACATGGCATTCTCTGCATGGCCACTGTGGATATAAAAACCTAAGATGGGGAGTTTTCCAAAAGCTGTGATCAGCTGTTTATTCAGTCTGGCATTTGTGGGTTGGATATAACTAGGGATGCTTCACTAGCTTTTTACAAATCATTGGATTGCCATAAAGAGCACTTTCAGTTTCTGGGGGATAGTTGTATTTAAAATGCAGAAATAAATACTCTGCTGCTAGAATCAACTGTCTCTGAGGACACTTCATTTTATTTGTTACCAATGATGAAGCAGGAAATTATGAAGGGCAGTCACTTATCAAGATAGTCCCATAGCCATCAAAGGTGAATCCAAAAATGCAGACAGGGGTGTTGACTCATATATCAATATGCATAGTTTCAGCTCCACAAGGAGGTTTTTTTGTACAAACTAATCATAAATTTTCCCTCCCCCCAGTTGCTCCAGCTTTATGGGTGGAGGAGACATTTTGCCACAATCAAAATCAAGGAATACTGATTGGGCTTGTTATAAATCTTATCCTTCCCATCTGTGTGGTGAGTCACCGTCAGTAGCCTCTTGACCAGAGGCACATCTGGAGAAATGTCATTCACTGGCACACAATTCACAAACCCTTCCTCTGCTCAAGAGAACCAGCCATGTTAAGTGCCACATTATCCCACAAAGTTGCTCCAGCTTTATGGGTGCAGTCTCCTGAAACTACTGCAATTGTGTTTGCCCTGAAAGTTTAAAAAAAAAAAAAAGAGGAAAAGTGGAGATTGCTGATTTTCACAAACTTCTACCAGATCTGTTAAAAGCTTATCCATATGTCACACTAGAACACCAACTGAGTAAAATATCAAGATGGCCTTTCTGTGCTTCAATTTTTCTTCACGAATATTTATCAACATTGTCTCTTCTAGGAGTAGCTCATTAACTGGTAAACAACATGTAGGAGAACAGAGAACTTTGGGGTTGGAATGGGGGAGCCCTACCACACCTAGATTTACTTCTTTTTATATTTGATGTCTACTATACTTTCTCTTGTTCTGTAGATAATTGTGAGGAGCCACTGGTACTCTCGTTACCTGCGACAGCCTTTGACAGCTCCTCCGAGCTCTCCAGCAGTCACAGCCCCAGCTTTGCAAAGCTCATCAGACGGGATGGTAAGATCACTGACAGACATAACATTGCTGTGATGCATAATTCATTGGAGCTGCTCTACGTAAATCCTTCAGCCCACTGAAGCTTCCATAATATCCCACAAGCAGTGTTAGCCCAAGACAAACTAAGGAAGTTACAATGGCAAGTGGGATATATGTTCACTCACTGAACTAGTTTGAAGAACTCCATGTTGCTTTTGAGAGTTAGATGACAGGTCTGCTTTCCTCCAATCTCTAATTGCTGTATGGGTAAAACTACTTGTGCCTTCCAGATGTTGTTGGACTCAGCCCGTTTGACATACTGGCTAGAGCTGAGGGGAATGTAGTCCAGCAACATCTGGGGAGAAACATGTTCCCCATATCTGCATTAAGCACAAGCTTATGATCTGCTCCGGAATTCCTAGGTCCTATTCTTAACATTCTTCAGTGGTGCAGAAGCCACCATATACCCACTACTGCATGTTGTCTTTGCACACTGTCCTGCACTGGTGACACACCTGCTTCCCAATCCCCCAGTGCAAGGAGACAAGTTACAGAGTCCCCTATAGTATGTGGGTCTTCTGATATTACCAAAGAAGTGTGAGAAGGACATACTACACCAGATCCCATGTCACTGAAACAACATTAGAGATTCAATGTACAATTCTAATGGTTGTAAAATAGAACATGCTCCAATCCACAGAGGATGTTCTCTCCATCCCTGCCCGAAACATATCTCAAGTCAACCCTTTACTGTCTATGTCTGCTTCTGAATCCCTGGTTTCTGCTCCCATATAAATTACAGCAGCTTCCTGTTGGCTTGGGTTCCATGGAATGCATATTTTTTTTAATTAGATCTATATTCTGTATGTTTTCCAAAATACCTCTTGTGATGATGTCTTTGGGGAATTTTAGTCCAAGAACAGTTTGGGACTCACGACTGGAAATAATTGATTTATGGGGAATTCCTATAGTCTGAAATAAAGATTTACACATTTTTCCCCCTTAAAATACATATTAAAGAATAGGAACAAGAGGTGACCGTTTGGGCTTTCTACGTGTGTCATAGATTGTCACAGGTTTTCTTCAGGCGTTAGTAGTGTGATCATTTAATACATTTACGGCTGGATGAATACAGAAAAGCTATGGATGGAAGATGGAGATTGGAATGACAATCTGAACTCTAGGGACATAAACTGAGTGGTGGCTCTGTGTCATCAGGTGGCACAATGAGTATCTTAGCCAAAATCAGCTCAGACCAATCCAAGAGAAGGCTGCTCCAAGACTGATTTCATGCTCTGTGAATTTGCTCATCAGCTTGTGAATGTATCACGATGGTGATACCCAGGCTGTGTGATGGTCAGTCACACCTGCCCACTCTTCAGCTGCCATCTATGTTAGCTGTGTGTATAGCTAGCATGGGAAGATCTAAAATAACGAATACTGTGGGAAACAAACTAATTTTTCTGGAAAGCGACATTTGTTTACTAGGAAATCAAACAAAAAATAAAGATACAGTATATTTTTAATCTTAGTTTAGTTGTTTTTGCCATGCATGCTGAAATAGATTAATATAGTTGCCTCTTAGGAAGCTATTTTTCATGACATCCTAAATTTGTTGAACCAATAAGTAGACGATTTAAGTGATCTAAATGTATTAGAGCCATGAAGACGTTACAAAAATCGGTCCAGACGTAGTTGTAGTCAGCAAATAGAGATCAGGAATGGGGAAGAAATTAATTAGATTTGTTTTTCCATATGGAAATATCCATTTTGCACCTCTAAAGAGCAATAATAAAAGAGAACACATCTTATGTCAGATATCTGTACATTTGTGCAGCTTACAGTGCATATTTAAGGGAGGGAGGCAGGGGGAGGCCACATGTATATTCCAGAAGAGTTGGCTGGATAACTCAGTGAGTTAGGCAAGCTAGAGGTTGAGAGTTCAGTTCTCCAGAAGACCCAGCCTATGTGGCCTTGGCCAAGCTGCACAGTCCCAGAATTTCTCCAAAAGAAAGGACATTTCCATGTACGCTATACCTAGCAAACCCTGAAAAGAGTTGCCATAAGTCAGAACTGACGTAACAGCACACTATTATTATTATTTTATTCTTCTTCTTCTTATTATTATTATTATTATTATTATTATTATTAAAGTAGAGTGCATAACTAAAATGTGTGCATTAAAATGTGCATAAACATTCAAGCCTAGACTTTCCATTAGGTACAGTGAAGCAGTTGTCTCTATCAATAGATAACACTTAGTTTCTCAGTGGTACTCAATAAACCTGCCAGCTTCATTCTCATTTAGTTTCTCAATAAGAAGCTGGCAGGTGTATATGTTTATAACATGGACTGTTTTGTCATTTTCAAAAGAGGGTCAGAATTACAATTCCAGGCAGAAAATTGACATATCCTATAGCTGCCTTGGGTTACGCTAGTCTAGAAATGTTGAAAGGATAATGACCTACATGAGTGACATTGTCTATTTTGCTTTGAAATAATCAAGCTTCTAAAAAATCTATTCCTCCTTAGCTCGGGACAAAGTGAAGGCCGAACTAGAAAATAAGTGGTTTCGTATTTATATGCTGTAATGCATTGAACACAAAGGTTAGGAGTGATCTCCACAATTCCCACAAAAATTCTACAACTTCTCAATACGGACAATATGTCACTAAAATATAGGCCAGAATCCAACTGAAAAATCTCACCAACGTAACTCCGTTTCACTTGTGAATTGTGGCAAGTTAAGAAGTTGGCACAGGCATTTACTCTTGTGCTGGAAGTCATAATGGTTGGTGTGCAATAGAAAATGCCTGCGCCAACTTCTCAACTTAAGACAATTCACAGCTCAGATTTATACTGTTTGAATTAATGCCAGTAAGTGTATCCTTTGTGGAAGGATTTGCTAGCGAGGTGTAATCACAAAATTTGCCAGGATTGAAAAAAAAAGTCAGAGTATGTCCCCACTTGCTAAAATTTATAGTGGTCATGCAAGCCGGGAAATTCTGCATGATACAGTCCAACAAGTAATTTTTCTAAGCTTTCCTTGAAGATCTGTAGCTTTGGCAGCTTCAGGCAAATAATGCCAATTACCTCACTTCTACAGGTGTATATAGTTTTGCATATATACAAGTGAACAATACCCTTGGTTTTTTCTAGCTCCCAGCAGCAGATTTCAATTTAAAGAGATGCATTTCCTATAGAAATTGACTGCCTGGAACCATACATTTGACCACAGAATTCCTCCTAGGGGTTTTGAATATTGCTAAAATGATTGTTGAAAGGCGTCTCAAACCATAAAAAGGAACAGTAGAAATTATAAGACTCCATATAATCTACTTTCTGAAGGCCAGCAGCTGTTTAACATAGAAAAGCAGCAGTCTGGAGAACATATACAAACAAGAAACCATTTTAGATATATGAGAAGAAAGAAGCACCAAGTGAAATCAAGCCTGACCCAATTCTGCATTACTGTAGGGTTTATTAACCAAATTTGCTGTTTTTCACACAGTATAAGGTAAGCTCTGGAATAAATAATGAATACTTGCCATTAAATTTGCAGACTTGAGTTGTTAAAAGAAGGAATAATTAATGCTTTGGGACTTGTGGAAGAAACCTCATATGCTTTGCAGGAATTTTAGTTACACATGCATGCAGGAGTTTTCATTTTCTTTTTAAAATGGCATTTTTCCTGTGTTTGTGACATGGTGCTGGAGACCATTTATTCCGTGGAAGGTGGGATGAAACCAAGGGAGAGAAGGAGGGAAAGCCTCTTAGCATGTTTGTTTGTTTGTTGTTGTTGTTGTTGTTGTTATTATTGTTATTAATTTATTTTATTTATATCCCGCCTATCTAGTCAATTAAGACCACTCTAGGAGGCTTACAACAAAATATAACAATATAATTAAAAACAATTTTATATAAGGGGAAAAACTTTGGACAAGATGGGAAAGACACTAGGAAAAGGAGAGGGGGGAAATCAGGAATTGGCTGAGGGGAAGGCCTGCCGAAACATCAGTGTTTTTAGTTGTTTTTTTAAAAATACCCAGCAAGGGAGCCGCGCGGATATCAGGGGGTAAGTTATGCCAGAGGCGAGGAGCCACCGCCGAGAAGGCCTGATTTCTTGTCTTATAACTACTAGTAATAGGGTAGGGAATACAAAAGGGGAAAGGAAGTGGTGGGAAAAGGAAAAGATTAAAGGGATAGGAGAGCACAGAGTATGCAATCATCCATCTGATTCATATTTCAATAACAAACCAACTTTCTGCTTTTTTAAAAAAAAACTGTTTGATTACCCTCCAGCTATCAGTTTACAGTTATGTTTCAGTTTAAATCTAAGTTACTCCAACACTATCAGGAAACTGAGACCATTTGTAAAATACATCCCATCGTTCAATTTCCTTTTGATTTGGACAGTCATTCAGCACACCTGAAAGAGTATCTATTTCCGTCCCTTCCCATATTTCCTCAGTACACTCCTCTTGTTTCTATAGCTCTGTTTTCTTCCAGTTTTTGGAAGAGAAGGATGGATCCAGGACAGTAATCCAATTTTTAACATAACATTTTCTGACTGTAGTAGCTAAATAGCTCACAGGGTAACTCTTTATCCCATCTATGTTACCTGGTATTGTACTCAATAAAAGCAGTTCTGGAGTTAGCACAGTTTCATTTAACTGTTGTTTAACATCTGATAACTTCTGTTTCATTAGATCTTTTATTTGGCTGAGACGCTCATTTACTTGCTGAAATCCTGTTGTTATTATCTTTTGCATGGTAGCCTGCCATTCTTTATCTGATTTTTGTGCCCCTATTCCCAAATTTTGAGATTGGACCAAGTCCCCAACTTTTGATATTTTAATTTTTGGGATGCTATTTCAATCTTTCCGATGAGTAGGGTCTGTATAAATAATACAATATCCTTAACTAAAGTGGCCAACCCTCAAATATATTTCCGAAGTTTCCACTATTTTATCAACAAAACAAAACCTACAATCATAAACCTCCCCTAGATTCTTCCTCCC